GGGAGTGGGAGGAGGAGGAGGAGGAAGGAGGAGAGGAGGAGGAGAAGGAGCGGAGGAGGAGGGAAGGAGGAGGAGGAGGAGGAGGGAGGAGGAGGAGGAGGAGACGAGGGGTTGGAAGAGGGAGGGATCCTATGCGCGAGGGCCTGCATGCTCCACGTCGCCGCTGCTCGCGCAGGCGCGAGAGCGGGGGGCACGAGGATCTCCGGGGCCACAGACGCTGGCAAGAGTCGGCGCGCTCCCCCCCCCCGAAAAAAACGCCCACCACACGGCGCCCCGATCTGTGACCTCCTCCCCCCTTTCCTCCTCCTCCTCCTTCCTCCTCCTCCTCCTCCTCCTCCTCCTCCCCCCTCCTCCTCCTCCTCCTCCTCCTCCTCCTCCTCCTCCTCTTTTTCCTGCTCCTCCTCCTCTTCATCCGCCTCCTCTTCCTCCTCTTCCTCCTCGTCCTCCTCCTCCTCCCAGTCTGTGGCCTCAGTCGATCTGTGAGCTCCACCGATCGAAATCTCAGCCAGCACCCACACTCACTGCAGCCAACCCGTAGATCATAAGGATCCACGATACGGATGCGGGGGCCCTGGAAGGCCGCCCCGAAGCTCTCCGAGCGGGGCGCGGCCAACGAAACAGTGGCCCAGGAGGGACCGAGGAGGCAAGGAGGTAAGGGTGCCCTTGGGAAGGTCGCCCATCCTCACCATGCGGGTTGACTGTAGCAGCTGTGCGACACGCACGTGAGCGAGCAGCGCAAGTGGGGCTGGCGAGCAGGCGCCAGGCGTGCTCTCGCATGGAACCGCGCGGCGCGCACGGCAGCAAGCGCACGGCCTTGCGAGAAGGAGGCCGGACCTCGCGCTCGGGAAGCGGTTCGCTGCCCTGGGCGTCCGAACGTGGCTGGGGTCGGTGATCTTCAGCATCACCTGCAAGAGCGCGCTTCTTTTTTCTCGGCGATCATGGGCATTATGGGGGGGGAGGGGGGGGCCGGGGGGGGTACAGTGTAACGCCCGCCTCCCGCCGTCTGGCACGGCGGCAGTGCCCAGAGCACACTGGGGGGGAGGGGGTCACGTATAGGGGGCCGGGGGGGGGGGGGGGGGGGCGCCATGATGCCCATCACGCCCCAGGCAATAACGAAGCACGCTGCAACAGGGGGCGAGACACGCTTGCTTCGGATGCCTCCTCGAGGGCTCTGCGCGACCAAGCCCAGATACGGTGGGGCCGTGCTGCTCGGAGTGTCGCGGAGGGCGGCCCCGGCGACGCGCTGCACCCAGCAGGCAGACAGCGCGTCCGCTCCGCTCCGCAGGGCGGGAGGCGGGGAAGGGCTCTCGGGACGCTGGCGCCTGGGGACTGGGGAGTGGCCAGCGTGCCGCGCCGAAGCGCGGGGGGCCAGAACTGGGAGGAGGAGGAGGAGGAGGAGGAGGAGGAGGAGGAGGAGGCGGAGGCGGAGGCGGAGGCGGAGGAGGAGGCGGAGGAGGAGGAGGAGGAGGAGGAGGATTCACACACCACGCCGTTGAATCGGCCCATGAGCTCGGTGTGCAGACTCCCCTGCTGCCCAACCCGCAGTACGCAGTACGCAGTTCACCGCATTCTCTCGCCGAACGCTCTTGGCTCCCTGGCCGACCACATGATCGACGTGGCGCACACGTCGGAAAGGAGGGGCTCGAACCGGGGAAAGGCTCGAACCGCCCCCCCCCGCCTGAATTGCAAGGGGGGCGGCGTTCGAACCGGGCCCCTGCCCCTCGTTCAAGGGTGGGGGGGGTCGAACCGACCCAACCCAAAGGGGGGGAGGGTGGGGGTTGAACCGCCCCACCCCCTGCAACCGACGACGGCGAACGCCGGCGCCAGCGCCCGCGCCGTCGGGCAGCGACGACGACGACGACGACGACGACGACGACGACGACGACGACGACGACGACGACGACGACGACGACGACGACGACTACGGCGACGACGACGACGATTGCTCGCTCGCACGCACGCTTGCTCGAGCGAGCGAGCAAGCAGACGAGCACCATGCATTTAATGTCCCGACCGCCCAAACCGACCCGCCCGACTCGATCGATCGCTCGAGCTAGCGAGCGAGCGAACGAGCAAGCGAGGGCCATGCATTTAACGTCCCGCCCGCCAAACCCGACCCGTCCGACCCGCCCGACTCTCCCTCGATTGCTCGATCGTGCGAGCGAGGCGACAGACTCCCCCCTTCCTTCGCTCAATCGCTCGCATGATTGCTCCAGCTAGCGAGCGAGCGAGCAAGCGAGCACCATGCATTGAATGACCCGCCAGCCCGACTCGAACGCCCGACTTGCTCGTTCGCTCGCGCGCTTGCTCGAGCGGGCGAGCAAGCGAGCAAACAAGCGAGCACCATGCTTTTAATGTCCCGCCCGCCCAAACCGACCCGCCCGAATCGCTGGCTCGCATGCCCGAGCGAACAAACGAACGAACGAGCAAGCGAGGACCGTGCATTTAACGTCCCGCCCGCCAGACCCGCCCCGCCCGACTCTCTCGCTCGCTCGCTTGCGCGGGCGGGCGAGCGAGCGAGCGAGCGCCATGCATTGAATGACGCGCCAGCCCGACCCGAACCGCCCGACTTGCTCGCTCGTTCGCGCGCTAGCGCGCTTGGTCGAGCGGGCGTGGGAGCGAGCGACCGAGAAGGCGAGCACTGTGCATCGAATTTTTCCGCCCGCCAAAACCGACCCGCCCGGCAGAGAGGGGACTCGATTAGAATTGGATCGAGCCCGACTGGGATGCGAATACATTTGTATCCAGCTATAGAAGGAATCTGCTAAAGATGCATCGAGCCCAGGCCGGATGAAATTGAAGCTAGATCCAAAAATACGGTTCAATCAGATCTGAATCCAGATGTAATAGGATCCTATTCGAGTAGGATCGAGCCTTAGTAAGGTTCTTTTTGGGGGAGGGGGGGTCCCCCCTCGGTTCGAAGGGGGGTGGGGGGTAGTTCGACCCGCTCCCCTTTAGAGAGGGGGGGGCGCTGTCAGGGAGGTTCTCCACGGGGATTCTCCGTTTTTTCGGGTGGGGGGGGGGGCAGTTCCAGACTGTCGAAGGAATTGTTCCAGGCAAGCGTCCACGAAACGCCTTCTCTCATACGACGAGCCCCCCCGAAGAACCTGCGGTGCGTCACGCGAAGCAGCAAAGTCCCCCACCGCGGTGCAGCCCGCTCTTGGCTCTGGCTCGACCTCCCCCTCCCCCCCGAGCCTGATGGCCAGGCCAGGGCACCCCGCACATCGGCAGCACTGGTAGCACGAGCCCGTCCCCCGCGGGCTGCGCCGGCTCGCCCTCCGCCTGGCAGAGGGGGGGGGCACCGCAGCTGGCCATGAGCCCCGTCTGCTTCACAGGAGCCCGCCCCCCCCCGCGCCCCCGTCTCGTCCCTCCTTCTTCTCATCCTCCTCCTCCTCCTCCCCCACCTCCTCCTCCTCCTCCTCCTCCTCCTCCTCCTCCTCCTCC